CGTTGGAAAGTGGAACAGCGAACTGTAGAGTGCGTGTTGGGAATTTGTACATTTGTAATGCGACTTTTACTGCGCACAGCTGAATCAGTTGTCAGTTGCCCACCGCCAGGTGGGTGGTGCGGCAAAGGTGTTGCATGTGGGGAAGCAGCAGCAGCTACCCAATGCCGACGTCTTCGTCGTCTGTGGCATTAATAAGGTCGCCCGACTCTTAACGGTTGGCTGCCACTGTTAACTGTCGCAAGTAAAGTTTATTTTATTTTTTATATTTTTGTGCTTTTTTCGTCTTTGTCAAATTGCTGGCGCGTTTAAGTACGCCCACATAATTGAAGACCGCCTCGAAATCCATGAAACTAATGATAATGATGATGACGTAATCGCATTGCAATTTTATCAAATTGAGTCGCACATTGAATCTATTAGAAAATGTATTTAATTCATTAGCAAAGTGTCATAATCAAATTTCCGGACGGGGTGCATCCAGGAGATGGTACGAGGGGGGGGGGGGGGGGGGGTGGGGTACATAAACCAAGCAACCACTTGGCAATGATTTCATTGAAATTAATTAACCTCAAATGTTGACCTCCTCGAGAGAAACAGAGGCCAACAAAATGTTAAAAGAGCAAAAGCAACACAAATGCGACAATTGTCGGTAGTTGCATTGTTGTTGCTGTTGTTTATTGTTGTTGTACCCTGTACAATTGGCTCAAAGGGTATGCAGAGTTTTGTGTTATTTCCAGGGCTGCAAACACTAATTAAAAAAGTCGCTGGTTCGATTCAGCCTCAGCCTTTAGATACGGTCAATCCGACTTTACACATCCTTGAACACAGATTTTGCCATATAATTTATATATTTCAATGAAGGAATTTAACCGACTAGTAGCTTGATTATAGGATATCTACAAGTTGAGTACTCCCCGACAGACTTGTTGCTTTTGCCATTGTCGTTCCCTCTGTAATCGGACAATTGAAAAGGTACATATATGTATGTATGTGTGTATACACACACCTTTGTGTTTGAGTTGTGGGTCATGCGAACCATTCAACTAATTGACAATAAACAAACACATATCTAGTCTATGTATGTATGTATGTATATGCCTGTTAAGAGACTGCTATTCAATAAGACTTAAGGGTATGTGGCAAGAGCTAAAGCGGCGGCTTTTGGTGCTTGAGCCTAACAAAAATCACAGTTCCCATAAATAATCGTTATCAAGCATTATATGTTATTGAGTAACGCGAAGAATTTGATAAAGTTACTTTGCCGATAACACCCGAACCTGTTACCAACGATTTTCAATCAAAAATACCAATTTAAAACAGCTAAAAAATGCCCGGAGATGACCTTTTGGATCTTAAGCCTTTCGATCAAAGAGAGGGGGAGAGAAACAGTTGTTCGTGTTTGGCTCACAAATCGAAAATTCCACTTCGGAATGTAAGCGCCAACAGTAAATGTTATGTTATTTTTGCATACAAAATCTCTTCTTTTTTTATTACCATACACTATACAATAAACTGTACGTGTGCACGTATATGCATTAATGCTTGCATGTATGTGTGTAAGCATTCACTACTTTAACATTCGAGCCTGTTGCTTGACAATGGCTGCCCACTATACGTCTACCTGCGGCTAACATTTAGTCTCTGTCTCCCTCTCTCTCTCTCTGAAAGCCTGTGTATGTGTGGGCGTGTTTGTCTATTTGCCCACAGTTCATTGATGACGCCAGCGTGCTGCTTGCTTGTTTACTCTCGACAAGCACTCAATTACGTGTCGAACGCTTTTGTATCGCCGCTTATTGCTCTCCCTCTCCCTCTTCCTCCCTCCCTTGGTATGAGAGTCATCTACATTAGGTGATCGAAATGTGAAAAGCATAAAGTGCAAAAAATGCTCTGGGTGTTGAATTGGCACACACACACATTTTGATCGGTTGGCTATAAAATAATCGAAGACTGAACGAATGAACGGGCACATTCGGTTTTACAGTGTGACTCAAAAAGCGAAAATGATGCCGAAGTGGGCAATATTCACGAAAGCTCCAACCTGCGTGCCTCGAGAAGCGGGCGAATAAAAAAAAAAAATAAATAAAAAGCGGGGCAACTTAACGGTTTCCCTTGCTGCTCGCTGCTCGCGCCATCAGCTACTTTGTCACTCTGCTCTTTACACCGCTCTCTCTCTCTCTCGCTCTTTCGCTCTCCAATTGCTTCGTTTTGTTTTTGTCGTTATTTGGCATATTTTACCATTTGGCATTTACCATTTACCTTTTGCCATTTCTATTTTGGTGGCAGCCATTTGCATGTCTCCACCTCGGCCCCCACCCCCGGCCGCTAGCCATTGCCGATGATGAAACTAGAGTTGGGCACATATCGTGCTATCGTTGTGACACGACAAAAAAAACAAATATGTGAGGAGAGATGAGTATTAAGTCAAGTAAGCACGTTGCTGTCGAATATAGCCGACTGGACTCGCTATACTCTATTCATAGCTTAAGACAGGCGTAACGGACTTCAAACCAGTTAAAAACAGAGAATCACTATACTAATATACTTAAATATTTAGGTATACACTTGTCGCTCGGAGATAAAAACTCTCAGCAATTAGCATAATCCCGGCATATAAGCTTCAGAAATTTGTTGTGCGTGTTCCGAGCCCGGCCCATCTCTAGATGAAACGTCCGTTTCATGCATGCACGAGATTGCACTGTTATCCCCTCGGAACCGGTTTATTGATAGACATTGGATACATTCTGGCCCATCATCCATTTAACTATTGCTCTTTACCGTGCGCCGTTGCCGGCTGTCTTTAACCTCAATTATGTATAGATGTGAGAATACATCAATACATATGCATGTATATATACACGTATATGTATATGTATATGTGCATACATATACATATATCAACAGACTGGCGATGTCGCAAAAACTTCCTAAATTGGCTTAAGCTATGTGTTCAAAGAAGAGACACGACCACAACAAGTGATGATGAGCACGGGTCTGAAACAGAACGGGCAAAACGACAACAAAAAAAGAAAAAAAAAACGGTTAATGTAATAATAATTATTTGGCGTCAAGACGCCCACAGCAACGGGTAAAGCGGGTAAAAGGCAGCGACTTTGCAGCCGTCACTTCTTTCACTTGTAATGTGAGCGAAACTGTAAAAAAAGGCAAACAGATTTGCAACACTGGCTGAAAACACAAGAAAAAAAAAACAAAAAGTACAAAAAATACAAGAAAAACAAAAATGTTTTCGTTGCTTTTCTATTGAGCGCTTTTTGTTTTACGCTCTGCAATTGTTGTTGTAGTTTTTGTTGTTACGAGTCTGAAGTTTGCGCAATTTGCGTTGCGCCAACAATTGTGCATATTTGAATAATTATGTATGTATGTACATACACACACATATATATATGTATGTGTAATAGTCAATAAGCAATTGTCATTGCAAATCGATTAGTGAAAAAAAAGAAAAAAAAAGCGATTGGAAATTATAAAATACTTTTACCGGGTATTACACGGTATTACAACTATTTGCCAGTGCCAAATCATATTGTTTAAACTTTAGGCGCAAGCTTTCCACCCATAGATCTTTGGGAATATAGGATGAAGAGTAAAGTTTCGTTAGACAGCTTTCTTCCAAATAAAACTACAAATATGATACGCTTGAAATGGTTTCTCTTGTGTTTTGAGTTCTTCTTCAATTCGCTCAATTCTCTTAACCCTAATGTATGCCTGGTGAACTCATGGATGTCTGAATATTTATGTATAATTAGAGCTGAGAAATAGAGTCTCTTCAATTGCCTATGCATATATGTAACTGGACTGGAACCGACCCCCCCGCCCCCACACTCCACTCGCCTTGACTCTGAAACAATGCTGCGACTTTCTGTGCACCACAAATGCCAAAAGCGAATTTTTCTGCGGTTTCCATATCAGCCGGATGCTCGAGCTATGCCTTTGGTTTTGGTTTTGGATTCGTTCGTCGAGGTCACGACGGCGCTCTCAAGTGAAACTCGGCGCGATTCCAAATTTGCTTTGCTTTTGGGTCGCCATCAAAACAGCGATACGCCCGATTGTAAGACGAAAACTGACTCACAATTCATCCCATGCGAATTTTACCCCGCTTAGATTGGATTTTTTGGCGACGCACTCAAAACATTGTCGTTGTCGTGGTTGTTGTTGTTGACACAGCTGCCGGAAATGAAGACGGGCAAATCAAAATTCCCCCGGGGCCCGGATGCTATTTTTGGCTACAGCTGAAAGGAATGAACTCGCCAAGTCAATAAATTGTAAAAATATATGTTTTATTGTGCTTGCTCGTTCCAAAATCCCAACAGAGAGGTAATCGTAATGATTTTCCAAACAGAAAGCTTAAGGGGTTTGGCTGTCGTGTTTAAACAGTAAAGTTTTATATAGATTAAAGAGGATCAATGAAGATAATGGGTTGTGATGTTTATATATATGTATATATATAATTGTGCTTGCAATCATATAAATCCTATCTATCTTAGAATATTCGCTTAGTTACCTTACATATTCCTATTTACCTTTTTTTTGTTACAACTTACATATTAAAATGCCGCTTTAGTGTTGTATAACACGCATAATATTTAAAAGTTTGCTTCAGTAATCTATCTGCTTGTCAGTGGCTTTTATTAAACTGCGATAAAGACCCATCGGGCACATTGCTCTTTTTTTTGAGCTGTTTTTTAAAAGCTACTTTTAAAAAGATTCAACTCAACATTTGAAGCGACAGTTGGCAACACTGGCTGCATATGCGTAGAATCTCTCTTCCTCTATCTTATTCACCCTTATTCTCTCTTTAATTTGGATTGGCTTTCTATGCGAATCTCAAAGTTTTTAATTGCTCTAAAAGAGTAAGAAGATTTGGTATTTTCGTATACATAGTAACTCACATAGATCTCATCTGTAATTAGCTGTTCCCCTAGCTTTTCTGGCGCTTATTTACCAGTCTCTAATTTAGAATTCTCGCTCGCTCTCATTTACAGTTCAGCGTGCGCGAGGTCTTCTGACAAAAGGCAAGAATGGCACCAACAACTGTTTCGTCACAATTGCCCTGGGCAAGGAGAAGTACCAGACATCAGTCAAGGACAAGGCCGAGGCAACCGTCAACTGGAATGAGGAGTGCGAACTGTGAGTGCAAATACAAATACATATCCCCGTATCCTAAAATAGACGGGTATTAATTGGGTTTCTTTCGCTAATCTAGCAAAATTCCGGACCAGGGCAATCGGGCGGAACTGACGCTGACTTGCTTGCACCGCAATAATCTGGGCATCGATGAGTTTCTCGGGCAGGCGACGCTGCCACTCAAGGACATGGACGTCTATGACAGGCCGCGCGCCAAGTGGTTAAAGCTGGAGAGCAAGCCGGGCAAGGAGAAGAAGAACAAAGAGCGCGGCGAACTGGAGGTGCGCATCGCGTTCGTTGTCAAATCCGGATCGCTAACAGATCTTAGCAAGAAGGACAAGCATAAGTCTTCCATTGGGCAGCTGGCCAGTTCTGTGGGCGGCAGCCTGCTCTCCATTGGCCAGGGCGAGAAGCGCAAGAGCATCAAGAAGCTGGCTGGCTCGCTCAGCTCAAAGCTGCACATACGCAGCAAGAAGAAGCATGCCGATGGCGATGACAGCGGCTCGTTTAGCGGTTCCTTTGCCAGCATCGGCACCCCGAACAGCTCCTCGGGCCTGGGCGGCATTGGCGGCGGCAGCGGACGCAGGCGCGGCCAACGTGCCGGCGAAGCTGATCCGGGTGTAATAAGCGAGGACGAGGACGAGTTTGTGTTCGACAATCTGTCCCACAAGAGCTCTGGCAGCTCGCTGAACATCCAGCGCTCCGGCCTGCAGCCGCCTTCATCTGGTGGTGGCGCCAACAATTTCGCTCCGCGCAACCCGTCGCCGCTGCTGAGCAACGGAAACGGTGGTGGTGGCCCGAAGGGAAAACTCAACGGAGGTAAGCCCATATTGCAAGAGACACTCGATGAGGATCCAATCGTTGCGGAGATGGAACAGCTTGAGCTCGATTTCAGCGTTCGTGCGCGCACTCTGCCACCTCCCTCAAAGCCGCCGCGCACGCCGCAGACACAGCAAGAGCTGGAGTCGGAACGCGATCGTGAACGGGAACGGGAACGCGAAGGTGATGGGCAAACACAAGTGGAGGCATCTCCAATCCAGGTGGATGAATGGGAGTCCAAGTTGTATGGTGGCGGCAAGTATTTAGAGATTGGCAGCAGCGATTCTTTGAAGCGTCGCAGCTGGGAGACGCGCGTACCGTTGCCGGCAACCAGCGAGGAGCCGCCACCGGTGCCATCGGCAAGCTCCTCCTCTAGTTCCTCAGACACTGAGGAGGAAGAGGAAGAGGAGCCGGAGCCGGAGCAGCCGCAGCCGCCAAAGACAGCACCGCCACCGCCATTGCCTTCAGATGATAGAAGCAGCAAGAGCGGCAACTCGCTCTTCGCGCCAGATGTCGAGCCGCGTAACTTTGATGCACTCAATGCAAGCTTCGCCAAGTTTGAGCAACGCAACAGCACCGCAATCTTTGCAGATGAAAAGCTGGCTCCTGAGCCGGCCGCGCCCAGATCGTATCCGATGGCCGAGCCGCCACAGCCGTTGCCAAGTGTGAGACCCACTCCACAGCCGCGCGGCACAACAAGTGAGCAGCTGAAGGCCGAGACGGCGGCACTGGCTAAGGCAGAGGCTGCTGCCGAAGAGGAAGCTGCACGTCAGCGACGCGCAGAAGAAGATGCGCGCCTGGAGGCCGAGCTGCGTCTGAACGAGCAGCGGCTGCGCGAAGAGGAGGCAGCGCTGCAACAGGAGCTGGAATTACAGCAGGAGGAGCAGCGGCGGCGCGATGCCAAGCGTCGTGAGGAGGATCAAAGACTCTTGAGCTTTGCCAAGCGCTCCACCTCCCTGGAGGAGCCGCAATCAAAAACGCAGTCCATTGCCGAGGATCAAACCGTGGCCGTTGCCATGGCCATGGCCGTGGCTGTCGCCGATGTAGATCCAAGCATAGAGCACAACTTGTTAACGCCCGAGCAATCGCCCAAGGAGTTCAGCAGCATTGGCGGCGGCGTCGGCAGCGGCGTCGGCAGCGGCAGCGGCAGCGGTGAACGCTGGGAGAAGCGACTGGGCAAATTTAAATACGGCAATAAGCGAGGTGAGCTGTTGTACCCAAAAAGACACCACAATTTGAGACAGAACAAAAGAGCGAGTAGGAGCTGAGACAATACAGTTAAAAAAAAAAAAATTCCACCAAAAAACAAAACAAGTTAAAACAGATATTGAAACCCAGCAAAAACCTATCCAGCTACCAAAACTAATCCGTCAACTACTCAAACTACCTCAAACTTGTACCTCGAACTTAATCCTGTCCGGCTGGCGGCGCAGGGGAGTGCGGCATGTGTGCGCGCAGTGTTGTAAAACTCTGGCGGATTCAACGACCAATCGAACCAAGCTAATCGAATCAAGCAATTTTCCAAATCAGCTGTCATCTTTGTGTCATCCTATTGTAACTTTTTAACACATTTTTTTTATTGCCTACGTACGCATTCGTCATCAAATTTCTCGCACTATCCGCTTTCTGAAGCTCAGTCATTCTCTTGTGCACTTTATTTCCTAAAAAACGTTTTTCTTTTTTTTTTTATATATATATTTATTTTGTTTTGTTTTGGTTTTTTGTTGTGTCTTGCATCCGCCAGTGCATTGGTGTCCGTTAACTGTGCCGCGAACTGAATTTAGTTCCGATCGAACCGTTTGGGTCAGGCTTACTAATTGTTTCTGGTACTGGAACAACTATTTCGTAGCCAACTAAATCTGTTTTGCATTCGTTTCAAATGATGAACTGGTGCCATACTCTTCTTAAAAGTGTCCGAAAAGGTAACCGAGACTTGTCAAACGAATGACTAGCGGTAAAGATTTAAATACTGAACTGGTTCCGTGCTCACTTGTTTTCACAAGCCATGCGAACTAGTTCCGTCTTCAAACGAGGCAACTGTCTGCTTGCAAGAAGAACTACTAGTTCGTGGCGACACTCGGTTCGGCTTATCTCACACTCTTTTTGTACGCATGTATTGCACTGTTGCGCGTTATGTATTAGGCGCCATCTTATCGTTTATCTCTTTCTCACACAGACAAACAGAACGATACGGATAGCAACTCGCCCAGCCCCAAGTCCACGGAGCGCATTATTATTGGCCACGAAAAGTCTGGTTCGCATGCGGAACGCCGCTCCGAGATCTCCGCACAATTGGCCAAAAAATACGAGGGAAAGTCACGGGAGGTATGTGAGCAAATCATGTGCATCTCTTTTAATGCGCTTGTTCTTGATTGTGTTTGCCTCTCTGTCTGTTGCAGGAGCTGATGCTGATCGCCAACGGCATGGAGAATGAGGCATTGTTGCAACGCCAGCGCGTCAAAGAGTTGGAGGACTATCTGGATAATTTGCTGTTGCGCGTAATGGAAACGCATCCTAAAATCTTGCAGAATCCCTATTCGCGAACCACATCGGCCAAAAGGTGAACGCCAATAGACATACATACGTATCTACATGTACGTGTATGCGTGTATATGTTCATATGCTTTTCACTTGCAACTCGTGCTTCAATCATACACTCCCGTTTGTTTGCGCTCCTCTATCTATGTATGCGTGTGCCTATCTCTCCCTCTTTTTTTTTTTTTTTGGTCATTGCTTTGCGTTGTTATTCGTAATCCCGCACGGCGCCCACCTCCTCATTCCGCTGCATGTCCACACCACACTTGCATTGTGTTTAACATAACGATTTGTGTTTTTATGTTTTTGTTTCTTACCTTTTTTATATTTATATACATTTATGTATTTCTCTTTATTTAGTTATAAAAATTACATCAATATGAATGACTTTTTAAAGTAAGTGCTGTGAATTTTCGGCATGCAGTTGCACGCACACTTAACAACAAGCAACAACAAAACTCATATGCACTCAAAAAACACAACAGCTAAAACCAAGATCAGCCAACACCCCCTGAGACCCCCGTTCAACAGCAGCAGCAGCAGCAGCAACACAGCGGCAGCAGTAACAGCGGCAGCAGCAACAACTACAACATTAACAACAACAGCTAAAATAACAAACAACAGCAACAACAGCATCAACCGAAGCAAAGAGTAAGAAATCTGCTTTTGTCTGTGTCTGTGTCTGTGTCGCTAAATGAGTTCCCATATATGTATGTATGTATGTATGTACTATGTATGCTTGTAGTACATTTGTATCTGTTTCAACTGGTGCTCTTAAGATTTCCTGCCGATTACATCCAGCCGTCCGTCACTATCTAACGCTGATCAACTGACTATCTTGTGTGCTCTCTCTCTCTTTCTCTCTCTCTCACACACACACAATTTATGTTCTCTCATTATGCTTAAGTGCTGTTAATAGTTTTCTGTGTGCTCCTTTCAAACACACGCACACACACACTGTACTCTGACACATTTGATAAGTTGCTTAATTTACATTGACTTAACATAATTGAATCGGTTAAATATGTTAATTAACTTTTGGCCTTCTTCTTGCAGCGGTTAAGTGTGACAGCAGCCAAACCATGTTCACAGCAAGCAGCTTATTGTCGGAGAAGCATACAGGGGAGAAGCTGATCCGCGCGAACGTTCAAAATGTAACATGTAACATAGAAACAAAAAGAACACCAAGTTGCCTTTGTCATTAGAGAAATTCAAGTGCTTTCTTATTGTATTTTTAGCATTACATTTACACACACTTTAACAACTCTTAGATATTAAGCTATTATAAATATATATATATTTTATTTTATTTTTTTTTGTTTGCTAAACGGATGACTACTAAAACAAAAAGGCCCAACAAATTTGTGGTTAACTTTTTCTGTGTGTATTGTTTAACGTGTAACATGATATTCGGTTTTTCATTTGCCCTGTGTTAATATTTGAACGAAACTAAATGAAATGAAATTATTTGTAAAATGTAAATTATTGTCAACAATTTGCTAAACTGTTTTGCTAGACAATTAGACAATTGTAATGTTTTGTTTCGATTCAACTGATTAATTGAAATTATCCAAAAGTATTTTTTATTTGCATTTTAAAATGTGTCTTGTTTTATGCGAAGAGTCCTGCAATATCGGCTACGATTGCAACTATTTATAGTTAAGTAAATCTTAAATTATTTATGTATTAGACAATTAAGTGAAAATTGAGCAATAAGCGAGGAGAGAACTACATACAGTTATACATATGTTGATAAATGATTTTACTTATTAAACAACAAATAAAAAACACTTAACATTGATATTCAAATTGTGGGCTAAATGAAAATTGAAACTTGTCTCTGGCCTTAAGGGAATCTCTGATTTCAAGGGAGAGAGAATGACTCTCAGATTGATTTAAGCCTGGTTAATTACAATATAATATTAAGCTTTTGGGCGATTTTACAGAAGCATTATAAATAATAATAATAATAATAATAATAATAATAATAATAATGTTCTCTTACATATTTTGCACCTTTATTTTGAATATCAATTTCTATCTTTTCCAAATCTGCAACATCTGTTATTGACAAGGTTTCTTTAGCTTCCTATACGTCGGCCTTCATTATTGATTTTTGCCCATCGGAGTTAACCGAGTTTTCCCCCTTCTTTTACTCTACTCTCCGTAGATATGCTACGAACCTTCTCAAACATGAATTCAGATTTCATTCCGGAGTTTTCAAGCTGATTTCCTGGTGGAAATATACTCCAAAATATTGGCAGCTCCATCTTTGTTTTGTTTAGGAAACTAAAATCACACAAATAAACAAAAGACATTCGGGTTAGATACAGCAGACAATTGCCTTTCCGATTTAAAAATCTGTCCGATGTGGGAAAAGCAATATGTTTATATTGAATACGATTGAATTAAGGCTGTGATAACTTAGATGGCAACTGCAGACACTGCGGACATACGTAGTTTTGCACATTTAAACATTTCAATTAAAATATATAGTAATAGGCTTTTTAAAATTGATGCTGTATGGACGCTCTCACATGATTCAAAATATTTGTTGACGATCGTAACAGAACAAAAGCTGCATTTAACAGCGAACTGTTGCATTTTACAGCACGTATCGATTAATTTTACAGTCGATTAATTACATCTAACGGTCCTTGCAGCGCACAAATCATAAATAACATGTAAAATTATATTTTTGAAAAAAATTGCATTTTTATGTCGAACTCTTTAATATATTGACAATATTTATAATGATATCATATATCAAAATTTCCCTTAAGAACTTGCGCGCTAAGTTGGTCGTATGTACGTACAAATAGGGGAACGCTCTTTCCTTTTCTTGACTTTTCTTTTAATGGACTTATCATATTCATTTCATTTAACTCGGTAAAGTTGTGATAATACTGATGAAATTAGGCCTATTTCCCCACAACGGACGTACAGAGGCTTAACATTAAGTATGTTAACTTAACAGCAGCCGTTATACAATTTATCGACTTTCGATAAAAAATCGACAATCGACTCGCGATACAAAATGTAAGGCGCGCATTTGAACTCCAAGATAAAAACGAATACATTAGGCTTTAGTCTATGTTTAAGTTTTAATTGTGTCTTTAATTTCTAATACAAAAAAAAAAGGAGGAATATATTAACTGAAATGCAGTTTAACATTACATGCATAATTCATTGCGCGTTATATACACTTTCAGGTTTAGTGCACCCCATTCGAGGTCTGCTGTGGCTGTATTGCCGCCAAAGCTGCCGCCTGCTGCTGCTGTTGTTGTTGTTGTTGCTGTTGTTGTTGTTGTTGTTGTTGTTGCTGCTGTTGCAATTTGCTGCTCTGTGAGAAATCTATGCAGGCACCCGAGGTCAGATCTATCTCCTCGGAATCGGAGCCGTCAGAGCCCTCATCGGAGGCAGGGCCGAGGGCCGCCATGCCGCCCAGATCCAATTGGGAAACACCATGCGCAGTCGGCTCCTTGTACAGCTTCAGTTCCGTGTAGGTTTTCGATAGCTTATCGTGCTCGGACTGTGGATGCGTTGGCTGCTGTTGCTGCTGTTGGAATGCCGGATGCATCATTGTAAAATTGCTGGCGCCTTGTCCACTGGCCAGAGGCACATCGTTGACGCCCACGTCATTGATCATGGCATCCTTGCCGCCTGCTGTACCGCCCGCAGATAAGTTCTCTGGCATTTGATTGTTACCACTGGCCGCTGTTCCGTTGCTCGGCCTATTTGAGCCGCCGCCGGCTATGACTGGCGGCGTGCCCAGGCTGAGGCAGCGCATCCGCCAAGCGTCCTGCAGCAGCTGGAGACGCGCCTGTTTACGCCACTTGGCGCGACGATTTTGAAACCAAACCTGCAACAAATAGTATCGAAAGTTAACAACTTGGCCCTATATATATGGTAAACAGCTATCGGTGTGCGAGCCTGGACAGGATAACCCAAAATCAAACGGGTTCCGATCGCGTTTATGCTAACCCTTTTTCATATTGGGCTTAAACAGGCAGATCTGTACAACTAAGAGAACAGAACAAGAATAATATATGCTATACGGATTCACGAATGCCTCAAATTGTACATAAATCCCATCAATAATGAAATGTTTGTAGGATATGAAAATCGATAGAGACTCGGAAGAGGTGACTCCTCGGGAGGGTTTTAATCAAAATAAAAGCATCAAGAGCTATTTTTTTTAATGGAATTTTTTCTTGTTGTAAAACTGTGTGAGGAAGGGCGGACGAAGAAGATGTTGTTAGCTAGCATATGGAAAGTACTGATGCATATATGTAGATGGGCATCCTACGGCACCTGGAGATACGTGCGCTGGCTTTGCCGCAATGATTCACCTGGACGCGCGCCTCGCTGAGGCTGATGCGCAGCGCGACCTCCTCGCGCAGAAAGACATCCGGATAGTGTGTCTTCTGGAAGAGCGCCTCCAGTTCCTGCAGCTGCTGTGGCGTGAACGTGGTCCGGTTGCGGCGCTGTCGCCTCCGGCCGAACATGTACTCCGTGAGCAGATCGCCCGGCAGCGGCGATATGAATGGCCCCGCCATCAAATGTTATTATTAATTTTAACAAATCGCAGCAAATTATTCTATTGTTAGAAATTTGATTTCTTTCACTGTTGCCTTTAAAAAATGTTGCAAAAAAAAAAAAAACAAAATATAGTGAACACAGCACACGTAAAATAATAACTATTTTTTTAAACGCACGTTAGTTGGCGCCAGAGCCATAAAAAAATGTGACCTGCGAACTGCGCGTTTGGCCAGCGACTGCGGGAGTGCAGGCTGCGTCCTTTGGCTTTTATGCCGTCGCAGCAGCTAATGTATATGCACGCACACATGCAAACATATTTCTATTTGTGTGTGCGCGCGTGTGTGTGTGTGCTTTTGGGTTTGGGAGAGTTTTGTTGTGGCTGCGCCTGCGACTCGTTGCGTTGTGGACACAATATTTACAACAATGGCCATTGCGAAATGCAGCTAATTGATATTCGCACATGCAAAACATAAAATTGGCCATTTCTTTTTACACGTGACAGCCTTTGGGGCGAAAAAAGTGCTGCTCGCCTTTGGGCGTTAGCTTAAAAATGTACACTAACATAATTATGTTAGGCGTGCATAACATAATTATCATTAATATTTCGGCATCTGCAGCTGGAACATTCGCTCTCGCGCTTGCTCTGCTTCTCAATTCGCCGCTCGCCGCTCGCCGTCTCGCTCGCTCTGGCAACCACTTAAAACGACAGGTGGCAAGGAGCGCGCGCAGCCTCCGTTCGCTGCGCTCGCTCATTCGTTCGTTGTAAACATAAACAAATATAACACACAACAATATAATGCACACACACACACACACACACACACACACATGCTGAGTGCTTGGCTTTTATTGAGAACACTCTCTCACTCACCAACACAGTTGCATGCTGATGCCGCCTCTGTTGCTGTTGCTGTTGTTGTTGTTGTTGATGTTGTTTTGCTAGCTGCATCGGCTTTTATTGTTTTCTCGTTTTGACTTCGTTAAATTACGGCACAAGCACAAAAACCTCATAAGCGCCGTTGCTTTTACGGTTTGCATGCGGAAACGGAGGCGGGCTGTGGCAGCGCAGTTGGGTAGGCTACGAACCGCACCGTTGCACGAATAATGCTGAAAAGTAGGCAATGATTTTTAAATGCCAATTTCAATAATATAACAAATTATTATATATATAACAGTTTCATCACGAGCTTACATACAGGAAGTATGGCATAATTAAGGTAGTAGAAAAGTAACCCACTAATTACTTGGGCTTATTCAATGTATGTTTAAAATATATGTATATGCAAATAATATAACCAAATAATATATACACTGAAAAAAAGCAGCAGCTTTAGCAATATACAAGACTAGACAAGACAAGACAACTATTACATGCAATGCAATTAAATTGAAAAGACTAAATTACATTATAAACAGCTAAAGTTATATACAAATAACTAATCATATTTTATTTAAAACTAAAAATAGTTTTTCTTTTATTCTTATTCTTTTTTTGTGGTTTCTTACTCTTTTTTATTAACCCAACTTCAAGCGATACGCTTAAATGCTTTTTTTGCATTTTTTTGTTGTTAAGTATTTAAACAGATTAAGACAATTTCGGCGCATTTATAAACAAAAGACATACATACTATGGCAGTCGTTTAAAAATATAATTTATTAAAAAAAATTTAAATTAATAATATAATACCTTTCCAAGATGTAATATTTGTACGATTTATCGAAGCATGGTCAAAAATGATATACCTGATTATGGATTTTAATTAATTAAGCCTAATTAAGTTATTTAAAAACTGTGTTTGCTGTTTAATGGGAAATGCTTTAACAAATGTTCATTGTTTTCATCGCACTTGTCCCACTGTAACTGATTGTTGTTACACATGTGTGCACATACATATATAAATCTACATATATGTATCAGATGCACCTGTGAATAATAAAATTCAAATCACTTAATGCTGCCAGCATTTGCAGAAACGGCACCAACATCGTCAGCTAAACAATACGGCAACACCCCGTTCACACAGACACACACACGAGCAGCGAGTGGAGGATAGAGACAGAGTGAGAGAGTGAGAGAGCGAGAGAGCGAGCGAGAGCGATTGAGCTAGAAAGCGCGAGCGAGGCAGATAGAATGTGAGGGAGAGCGAAAGACTGAGTTGTTGTTGTTGTTATTTCGTAGCTGTTGATGCTGCTGCTGCGCTTGTGGGTAAGGAAAAGTCAGTAAGGCGCATAAAAATGAGGTTGCCACCACAGCTGATGCCACCTGGCAGTCGCACAGAATAGCGGATACAACAATAACAATATCAACAATGCATACATGCGAGTGCTGCTGTATGTGTGCCTGGGTGCCTCTGTGCCTGTGTGTATGGGTGTATGGGTGTGTGTGTGCGGCAACAAATGAAGGGATGTAATTTTCTCATTTGCATACATTGTTTTCCTGGCTGTATTGTTGTTGTTTCTGTCGGTTGTCGGGTTTGCTTGTGTGTATTTGCCTGCGCTTGCGCTAAAATTATATTTATTTATTAATACTGAGGCATAGGCGTGGCAGCAGCCGCCCTCCCATCCTTTCAGGCTTGCTTGCCTGTATTATGCTCGTGTTGTTGTTTTATTTCATTTGCTTCTTTTGCGCCGAAGCCAATCATAAACGAGCACTGCTCACTCTGCCTGTGTGTGTTAGTCTGTGTGTGTGTGTGTGTGTGTGTGTCTGTCTGTGTGTGAGGGTTGACCAACGAGATGAACGTCAGCGTTGACAGCGTCTTATTGAAATTATGAAAATGATTTCATGTTTGCCTTTTGTCTTTGGCAGTCTGGCAGCTGCCAGTCTCCACCCCGTTTCGCCGCCCACCGCCTGCCGCCCGCCATTTTTAATTTTGTAATTTGATGCTGTTGCCTCTTCATGTTACTGTTACTGTTACTGTTACTCTTAATGTTACTGTTGTTGTTGCTACTGAAATTGATTAGGGAACAGGTTTCACCTGAGCATCGAGCCAAGCTAGCATCTTTTTGTTTCTTTTTTATTTCGTTGCTGCTGCTAATCTGTGCTTATGCGTGTGTATGCGTGTATGTGTGTGTGTGTGTGTGTGTGTCCATTGTTTTGTCGCGCTGATTGGTCTTTCACTGGCTACAAGTGCCTGTGCGAGTGCGTCGCTTTGTTTTGCCATCTCGCTTCCACTTGCAGCTTTGCCTGTTAATTATTATTATTTTTTTTGTTGTAGCGCGTCGCAGTTGTTCTTGTAGCTGCATTTTGATGAAATATGCTTGCAGCACGTGAAATAGATATATGTGCATGCAAGCACACACACACACACACGCACACACACACATATGTACGTACGTACGTGAAGTATATTCGAACAAAATGGCGTCCCTGCTGACTATTATTCATTGCATACTTTCGGAGCGTTTATTTTGTTTAATTGATAGCGTCTGCTTCCAACAGACTATCTATTTGTTTATTAGTGTTAATATAATTTGGTGTTTTTTGTTTATTTATTTAACAAATAACGATTAGCAAAGCAGAGTTTTGTTACCAAATTTGATAAACTTGCGCTTTTAACTAAAAGCTAATAATGCAAAACAACTTCTCTATAGACGAGTTGCCTAGTTAACAATTGAAATAGAAGAACGAGGATTCGGGCTCAATTCCCAGGCTAATCCGAAACCGAAGGCTTCAAAAATAATTAGGTTAATTATTCGTGAGCTATGTATATATATAGAGGTACATAACGGCTTTTACTTATAATCATAATAATTATTACAATTATAATAATGACCAGAAATGATCGCTCTATATTATAACAGAAATTCATCCCATCGCACTGACGACACATGCTGAAGCCAGTGTCAATTTAAATTGCCACGACTTCTGTCATTGCCGTCAGCGTCAGATGCGTCTCGTATACTGTGATCTTCTTGCCACATCCTTTGCCGCAGCTCATGTCATCTGGCAACGGCAACGGCAACTGGAACAGGAACTGCAACTGCAACGGCATGTGGCAAATTAGCGCTCAATGTTAACATTTGCCCACATTGTTACGTTGTGTTAATGCATTTGAATTTTTCTTACCCAACTGCCACATGAGCCCCGACGCAACAACTGAAACTGGGCGCTACAAATGGTAAGTCCTTTACGACTTTATGCATAATATACAATTTACTGGGACAAGCCTTAAGGGTTTCAAACATTTTGCAGATAATAAATATGTAGCTAAGATATTTGGCAATGTGATAAATAATAAAGGGATATTTTTTATAATATAAATACTCAGACACTAAAAAGCTCAGCTAAATAAATTGAAACTGTTAAGTAATATAAGAAATAAATCAAGAAACATTAAAACAGCCTCGTTATATTTCATTAAAAAACAAACAAACATATTGCACTAATATAACTGTTTCTGAATATATCAAGAAGCAGATGAATTATAAAGTCACATTTGGCTTAAGCAAAGCTTAAAACACAGTTTAATTTGCCTTACTTTAGATGCTGACTCTTAGAGTTAACAAATATACAGTTAATATACGGAGTTTGTCTCTTGTTTCTTGATACATTTCTGGAATTAATCGAGAAATTAATCGATAAGTTGCAACAACAAATCAGGAGCTGAGCAGTTAGTTGGCCTTGGGCTAATTTGGTGCTGTGCATCGCGATGTGCCCATCTCTAGCTGTCGATCGGTCTGGCTGCGTTTGTTCCAGTTCCTTAGTTCCGGCTCAAATGAACTTGTAGCGTGCTCATCAGTTCGTGTTCGCTGCAGAATTTGCAGCATTTGTTGTTGTTGCTTCCCTTTTTAATTACTTTTTGTATTTTTCTGTTTTTCTTTTTTTTTTTTTTCAACTCATTTTCTTTTGTGCCATGCAGTCAACCAGCAGCCTGGCAGGAGAGTCCTTGCTGCCAGGATTTATGCAACGGTTGTCGGCGTCGTCATCATCGCTTTTGTTGTTCTTGTTGTTGTTGTTGTTGTTGTTTCTTTTGCTTGGCTGCATTTAGCATAAATTCAGTTTCATCTCATTTCAACT